TCCTCTCCAACACGTTTTTTGCCTTCTTGATTTTAGTCATTCTGTTCAGCTTTTTTCTTTAAAAGTTAGAAGTAATGACTTTCAAGTTCTTCACATGTTGGAACTAAAACGGCAAGTCTCTGATATTCTAATTCTCAGTAATTCTCTTTCACTAGAGACTCTTTCTCTCTTTGCCCAGCTAAGTGTCCATTTTTCAGTTTACTTGTTCACATTATGACTTAGAGTGACAGAGGAAGGCTCCGGAATGCTGGGACTAGTGCCCACAGCAGTGGTGAAGGTGGGTCAGTGTTGCTTTTCTCCTGGCGAGCGTCACTCATTCAGGTCAGGAATGAGGTAGGGCCTGTTCTGTGCCTCCAGCAAGAGAGATCAAAAGGTGTCGCCATACTTGGTAATATCCCCAGGTCTTCTGGCATTTTCATTGCGGACTATCCCTTACCAACGTCTGAACGGAGACAAAGAGAAGTAATGAGCTGCTTGACCAAGTAGTTTCTGCTCTGATCCCTTCCTTGTCAGGAATTTTCCAGTTCCCCAGCTCCGGGCGACCTTTGGTGAGGGAGAGGATATCAAATCAGGCACATCCAATCTCTCTGTGTAGACACACGCCCTTACCTCCAGCACTCCTGCATGGAAACTGTCAGAAATCAGCTTGTAACTATTTCCTTTAGACCCCTGCATACCAGTTTATTACTACTGCGCTGGCTCTTGAATTATTGACAGATAACTCTCCAGAGATATTCAGGTCTTTCATTCTCTGAAATTCCCAGTCCCCAGTTCAAGATGAGAAAGTGGTTACAGAGAAAGAAAAAAAAAAGAGACTTGAGATAGCAAACTGGAAAAAAAGATCTACAAGCTACAGGTCATGATCTTTTCCACAGAACCCCCGGGGCCCTAGAAATGGCGCCGTCTGCTGACAAGACCACGAACCTGCGGGCTGCTTTCAATTTTTCCAATTTCAGGGAAGGATCAGAGAAGGGATTTGAATTTAAAATAAAAAAAAATCCTGTGGGTGCCAAGTGTGGATTCTCACCACCCAGGAATCAGTTCTAGGACTTTCTCCTTCCTATCATCTCTGAAAGTGTATGTGGCAGTAATGCCATCTGGTATTTCTGGGGCCTTAGGACTGCGCTGGGCCATAATTAGAGATGACGTGGGAAGTTTGGGGGGCTCAGGAGAATCTCAGGGCATAAGGAGCTTCAGTCCACAGGACTGTCCATGGACAGTGAGCAAGCTGCAGTAACTAGAGACATCACCAGAGGGCGATCAGAACCTTCTCAACCCTGGGAACTGAGATCCTCGCTGGAAATAGACATAAGATCTGCGCTCATTTGTGTGAAATTCTAATGATCTTCCCTCTTGTCTGAGGACGATGCTGGACAATCTCTTGATCCTGACTGCACCCTAGATCTGTTTTGTTTTTGTTAATCTCAGGACCCTCAACCTTTCCCACTCTGCAGTGCCTCTCCCAGGCTGTGTACCTACCCAGTGCAGGTGGTTCATCTAGTCTCCCAAGGGTGGGAGGAGAGGAATTGCTTTTCTCCTCAGGGTTGCTTTGCCACTGAGACCCTACAGGCAAAGTACTATTTCCCAAGTGCTTTAAGTTATTCTTGAGAATATTGGACACTTAAGAACAAAGGTCATAATTGTCTTCAAGTTGTTTGGTGGTGGGCAGAGGGCACCTCATGGTCCATAAGTAAGTGTTAATTATCTTTCTACCGAAATGCTATTATGCCAAGTGGTCATCTTTAACACACTCATACAATTTTAGAATATTTATATTTAATGTGGGATATGAGTGCATTCTTATTGTGTTGTAAGAAAGCTAAGTTACACAAATAAACAAGGCAAAAGGTAGCACAAACTAACAAAATTGTGAATGAAAGTAGTTCATTACAGATAATTAAAAATAGTCAAAATAATTACACAATTCAATGCTAATAAACTCTAGAATTCTGTGAAAAATAAAAAAAGTCCAATATTCAAAAAACAACCAGAAAAGCTTCACAATGAAATAAAAATTAAAAGATGTACACAATTATCTTCCATGTTCAGGGGGCCTTATGCATACTGATATTTGCAGAGACCCAGGCTTCCGAGTTACTTCTACAAGTGAAGGCTCGCAGAGCAGAGAGCCCAGCTAGGCCCTGCCAGGGGAGAGTGTGGGTCCCATGGGGATAATGGGAGTTAAGTCAGGGGATCTGGGAAAACTGACACTTTACTCCTGCCCTGGTATGTTTGTAGTGGTTGACATCCTCCTCCAGATAACTCCCTAGCTCTCTCCCTGCCTGTGTAAATGAGTCTTGATGATGTTGACACTTGTCCCCCTCTTGTGGCCTCTCTTCTGTTTACCTAGAGCTCCAAGTACAGTCCCATGGAACTATGTGCAGATTCCTGAATACACCGAACTTGCTTATCCTTCCATCCAGGCCATTCCTGTCTTCTGGAAGCATAGCTCAGCTGACAGTGACATGCCAGAGAAATTCTTGATACCCTAAAAGGAGTTTCCAAAAATGCCATCTTGTTCTATCTTTAATATATTACATGTTGGTAGATGGTTAGGGAAATAATACAAATATGGCAAAGTCATAGCATGCTTGCAAGCCCCTTGAATTCATAGAGAAATCAGGTTTTAAGAAAAATAGAGGAAAAAAAAACCAAGTGTATAAAATTAGTGATGAAAATTGGATGTTATTCACACAGAAGTGATGGACAGTGCTGAGGTAATTCACACACCTAAACTAATGATTTACACACCTAAACTAACAAATCTGTCTAATGATTTGTTATCTGAATGATGTAAATTACCAATATTGAATTAAGGATAAACAAGCCTAAATGGGTAATTATTGACTCCTTAAAAGTGGTCATAGCAAAAATCTAAATGTAATAGATACAGATATTTTTATGGGAAAGTTGTTAAAATTTCAAACAATTTTTTTAAAGATTTTTTAAATTTTATTTATTTGTCAGAGAGAGCGAGCACAAGCAGGGGGAGTGGCAGGCAGAGGGAGAAGCAGGCTCCCTGCTGAACAGGGAGACTGATGCGGGATTTGATCCCACGGCCCTGGGATCACGCCCTGAGCTGAAGGCAGCCTCTTAACCGACTGAGCCACCGAGGCGTCCCTCAAACTATTTTTTAATTGTCTTTCTTCTTGGGGCTTAACCTTGGGCCCCAAACACGAGTCAGATGATGAGGGAGGGCAGAAAGAACAATGGTACCTTGAAAAGCAATTCCAGAAGTGGCACTTTTTATGTAATGTGCTCTTAAGGAGCCCAGGAGACTAGGATTTCCTTGATGAATACAAACAGAAAATTAATCCATCAATTTATTTTCCTCATGTGCTCTTCATGGAGGCACAATGTGCTGAGATCATCCTGTGCCCAGAAAGGGTGGTGACTTCTGATAGGGACACTCCTGTTCAAGATGACTTCCTATCAGATGTGGTGTCAAGGTTATCTCAATTTCAAAGCAGTCCTTTCTGTCCAAGGCCCCAAAGGCCCAATTCACCACTTGAGGCCATTGGTTCTCAACCTCAGACTCACATAAGAATCACTTGGAGAGACTACATCAAAATAAAAAGCTTCTGCACAGAGAAGGAAACAATCAACAAAACTAAAAGGCATAGGGAATGGAAGAAGATATTTGCAAATGACATATCTGATAAAGGGTCACTACCCAAAATCTGTAAAGAACTTATAAAACTCAACACCCAAAAAACAGATATCCAACTAAAAAATGGGCAGGAGACATGAGTGGACATTTCTCCAAAGAAGACCTACAAATGGCCAAAAGACACATGAAAAGATGTTCATCATCACCTACTGTCAAGGAAATGCAAATCACAACTACAATGAGATATCACCTCACACCTGTCAGAATGGCTAAAATCAACAAGAAACAACAGATGTTGGTGAGGATGTGGAGAAAAAGGAACACTTGTGCATTGTTGGTGGGAATGCAAACTGGTGCAGTCACTCTGGAAAACAATATGGAGTTTCCTCAAAAAGTTAAAAATAGAACTACCCTATGATCAAGGAATCTCATTATTGGATATTTACCCAAAGAATACAAAAATGCTAATTCAAAGGGATACATATGCTCCTATGTTTACAGCGACATTATTTACAATAGCCAAATTATGAAGTGTCCATCAATTGATGAATGGATAAAGAAGAGGTAGTATATATCTACAACGGAATATTATTCAGCCATAAAAATAATAAAATCTTGCCATTTGCAATGATGCAGATGGAGCTGGAGAGTATTATGGTAAGCAAAATAAGTCAGTCAGAGAAAGACAAATACTGTATGATTTCACTCACGTGGAATTTAAGAAGCAAAACAAATGAGCAAAGAAAAAAACGGGGGGGCAAACAGAGGGGAGGTGGCGGGGGGAATGGGTGAAATAGGTGATGGGGATTAAGGAGGGCACTTGTGATGAGCACCGGGTGGTGTATGGAAGTATTCAATCACTATATTGTACACCTGACTTAAAAAGCTGAAGTTTTACATCTGTGTGACTACTGCACAAATAGGATTTAGAAAATCATACTCCAAAAAGTTGTCCTGGTCTTTTGTAGCCAACTCTTCCAGCACCCTCCATCCCTCGTCTGCCCAACTCCTGGCTATTTCCTAGGAGGTGGTGGTGTGTTCTTTGGGGGCAAATGGAAGGTGGGATCTGAGGGGATAATTCAAATTGGTAGGCTGAACTGACGGCCTATGCACAACCATAAGATGGGAGGAGATTCTCGGTGCCTAGTTGGCCCAGAAAGCAGAGAGGGTTAAAACAGCCTCTCAACCTCAGCACTCTGGACATTTTGGACTGGATCCTTCTTTGCTGTGGGAGCTGTCCTGTGCACGGCGGAGTGGTTAGCCGTACCCCTGGCCTCTACCCACTAGATGGCAGTGGCATCCCCCAGGTTGGACAACCAAATCTGTCCTCAGACTTTGCCAAAAGTCCCTTGGGGCAAGCCCTCCCTCCCCCCCTTTCGAAGCACTGAGTTGAAGCATTTCTCTTCCAGTGGCCCTATAGGACCGCTGCCCATTGGGCCCAGAAGCTCCTTCCCCTTTCATCTTCCTGCCAGCCCTGAAGATTTCACTTTCACTTCCCAGCCATCTGCTCAGGAGGAGTGGCTTCTGGCCGACCCAGCGCCTGTTTGGTGAGGAAATGCTGACCTAGCCTGCCCTGGCTTTTCTTCACCACTTAAATCAGGAGCCAAGACTTCTCTGCTGGGGCTTCAAGGTGCGTGGGGAAGTTAGTGGGGGGCAGAGGGTGGAAGACGCCAGAAGGAAGGTATGACAGGAAGGTATGTGAGTTTAGTGTGTGGCCCAGACATGCTCTGAAGAGAAGAAAAGTCAGTTTGCAGACTTCCTGCTCTGAGTGCAGACAGACGGCAGCCTTGATTCTGGAGACGGGTGGCCTGGAGAGAAAGGAGCGCCCAAGAGGTGGGGAGCATTGTTCCTTTCCTGGAGGGGCCCTTCTTTCTCCAGGCTGCGTCCATCCTCATCCCCTTACTGTTCTAGAGTTTGAATTGCCTCAGCGAGGTCGCTGAGGAGAACTGGAATCCTTTCCCTCTCTCACTCTCTCTTTCTCAAAGTTGAACAGAAAGTATCTTCTCTTCTGCCCACCTCTACCTGCTTGAAGAAAAGCTGGCAGAAGAGGTCCCTATGTTCCAGAGGTTGAAAGCCCAGGCTCCTAGGGTGGAGCACAAGACAGAATGGAGTTTGGGGGGCATGGCCGGGCTCATATTGAAGCTGATTCTCTCATTCCTCCCCCCGGGGAACCAACCGAGGGGCCGTCTCTGGCCTTCCTCTCCTGCTGGCCTGCAAGGTGATGTGCCTGCCACCTGCCTCCATGGCCCCCTTTCACCCTGTGTCCTTCCGAGTGCCAGTCTCAGGGGTCTCTTTGCACTTCCCTGCATAGGCCCCTGTCCTCTTGCTTCCAGGAGCCCGCTGACATCGGCATCCCCACCTGCCTTAGGGCTCTTTCTCCATCATTCCTCCTCTGTAGACACACCTTTGCATGGTTATCTCAATTCCTTACTATTTTTCTTTGTTCAGAGCTAATTAACC